TCAATTTTGTACTAGGGCTGTAATCTGTTTGGAGGAGGATCATGTTGATAGCACCTAGCACAGTGGTGTCTTCGACCATTATCAGGGTTTCTGTATTTTAACGCACCACTAAAATAAATCCACCTTTTAAAGTTATATTTTATGCGCGCACATGCACTATAATTTTAAAGGATGACGGAGGGTTTTTTTTTAATAAATAAAAACAGAAACATCCTTCCTGCCCTGTCTGCATCAAATTTAAAAACAAAACACTGTCAAAATTTCCATGATGGTGGAAAAAGCAGGGCTACTCTAGACTTTGGGTGAATGAATCCATTCTCGTGAATATTAATATACTAGTTCCTATCGATGTATATATAAAAAAAGCCCCACTTCAGAAACCATTGTAAAAACTGTAATTTTTGTCAAGGTTCTTTGATGGACTACTTACAAACGACAGCCTACAATTTCTTATGGCTTGGCACACTGAGAAAATAGCAATTACTCAGTGAGATGTAAAGATCCAGTTGAATCTCGCTTGTGTGCAACACAAAACAACTATGCAAGAGTTGAGTTACTAAATTATAGCAATGTAGGTATAAACCTCAGTGGACCCAAATCTTTTTGGCCACTTCACTAAACTAAGATCCTGACTCTGTCGTTGATCCTTACTGGTTCATTGTGCATCCTTTGCCAGTAGTTTGGGTTTTCCCAAGTCCCAAAGTCGTGTAAGGCCAGGCTATGAAGTACCTGCACTGCAGACAATAGCATGAACAAACTGAACAGGGTACGGACTGTAGTTGTTCACCGACTAACGCAGAACTGGGTCATTAAGAAAGGAAGGACCCAGTCACAAAAGTATGAAGTATACTAGACTGAACAGAAATCAGGACGTCTGGTAGAGGTGATATCTTTTATTAGACCAATTCGATTTTTGCAAAATAAATAAATAAATAAAAATCTTTAACTGCAAGCTTTCAGGCACAAAAGTAAAGAATTTTTTTTGGCAAAAATCTAATAAAAGGTATCACCTCTACCATGAGTCCTGATTGCTTTTGCCACCGGACCAATATGGCTACAGCCTGGAAAACTGAAGAAAAGTAATTTGTCATATTTGTGTGATAGTTTGGATCAGGAGACTGAGAGGTACATCATCCGTTCTCGGGGCATGCTAGTGTCTAACGGCAGGAAAGGATGGATCATTTTCCTTCTGTTTTATGGGACTGTACTTTATTTTGGAAAGGGATCATCTAGGCAGCTATTTACTGTCTTTCTGTATCATTGTCTCAAGATTTTTATGAATCTCCAAGCTAGGGATTAATAGGAAAAGAAGGTATGAATAGGGGAATTTTATACAATGACAGATCTAGAGATAGTGGTATTGTTACCTGGCTTCTTCCCATTGCTTTCATTGATGACTCAGTCTGAAACCACAGATTCACAGACGTTTAGGGCTGGAAGGGACCTTGTGAGATCATTGGGTCCAGCCCCCTGCTCTGGGCAACTGGGACGAGTCACCAGCAAGTGTTGCTGGGCTTGATTCACTACTACTCAGTGACTTTGCCTAGCCAAGTTAGGTTCACAATCATATGGTTTATAGGTAGTTCAGCAACACCCAGGGTAGTTGTTAAACCAGGTCAGATAACGGCATCTCCTACATACAACCCTACAGGACTTATCTTTAATATTGCTGAAGTGGACAGTACCTGTCAAATGAACACAGTATATATGTGAAACTCCACTGTGAATAAGGCATCACCACACCAAAAGGAAACACATACTGGTCTGCCCAATGCTGAGAGATGCTTTTGTTCCTTCTCAGAGCTGAGCTAAATTGGATGAATAGTGCAACCAATACTGTCATTTTTTTATACTGAAGCTCTGAAGCATAGAGGCTGAGTCTTATCTCCCATGGTCAGCCCAGCATATTTCAAGCATACGTTAAAGAATGAAAAGGTCAAGATTGTTTCCTGTAGATTTGTCCATCTCCCTTTCCTATTGCTGGAGGTATGACGCTTAATCTTCAGCCCAGAGAGCAAACGCTTACGTAATACAGCAGGTTTACCAGAGTGCCAGAAATACACACCTCAAATCTCATCTCCAAAGTATTCTTAAACGCAAAAGAGAGAACGAAGTGTTTTGGGCCGGGGCGTCTCATGCTTCATTTGGACGAGTGACTTTAGGACAAGAACCAAACTTTTTGAGAAATCTGGAGTACTCATTTCACAAAGCTCTTGCATACCAGACAATGTAGTACAAGATCCTCCAGGCT